TACTGTACTAGTCCTCTCGGATAAAATCACTTTCAAATTAACGCTTTGATGGTCATTTGTAAATACAGAACCTTCATTTAAAACTTTCTAACTTTGCTGGTTTATACTGTGCTTGGTTTGGACTGTACTGGCTTGAAAATACTAACTACCGATTAGCATCGAAGCGTTTTTTCGAAAGTGATTTTATCACTTTCAGATTTAAAAATTCCTGTAAACCTGTGACCTCCCCGTCACCATTATGCCCCGACCCAACTATGCTCCGTCCCCACTATGCCCCGACCCCACTGTACTGGTTTTTTTTATTTTTAGTATTACAATGTAAACAGGTTATAAATAAAAATGTTTTGGGGAAATGACATGTAAAACACTGCGGTTGTTGTATGTTTTTATCTTTTAAAACGTATTTGATGTTGGTGATTTATGATATGTTTCCTGAAATGTTTGAAGTATTATTTGACCAATATAGTTTAAGATTACAAATATTATATAATATTATTATATTCTTCATGTTTTTAAGCTGTCTCTCCCATCACCGCTGTAACGATCATATTTCACTTGACCGTTACTTCGCGTTCCAAACCAACTGACACAGCACCCCCGACTATAGGTAGGGGAACGGTCGCACACACAGGACAATGCACGTCGCGTATCATCTAATTAACCAGTTGACTTTACCATCACGGACCGCCAATATCCTCGACCTTGCGCTCTATATTTTTGCCGTTTTACTACAAGCCGCCCATCCGACTATCTTTTGTGTGCGTCCGTTTCAACTCCGCTTTGACCAACCATTTCATCGTCCAACCCAGGTCAGAGTGTATATATATATATATATATATTGTATGATTTTGTATTTTATTTAGAAACCCTAATTTAGAATAAAACATCTTGTAGCCTGCAGCTGAGAGTTAGATTATTTAACAGTGTGACCGCCCGTTCTAGCTCCTCGGGCGATATATTAAGTTAATAAGGGAGACTTTAAGGCCAATTAGACGTAGACAACGGCCTAGCCAACCGTTTTCCCGTGGGGATCCGTCTATTTTAGCTTTATCGACGGCCACTTTGCCTAGTCTAGCCAGCTAGACAAGTAGGTCCGTTACAACTTGGTGGAGGCGCCGATTGCCGTTAGTTTTATTTTTTACCTTGGGGGAGAACCCATTTTGCAAGTGAATAAACTACGGCCACGACCCCATATAACTGCACTGATTAATTTATTCGCTCTCAGTTTGTGTTAAGGTGTTTTATTTTACGGTACAAATTGCTCTGGAATTTTAAAGGATATTTTATTTAACTTAAATTGCATTATTTTTATTTAATTAAAAATTAATTATGAGTATTACTCCGCAATGCTTTTCCGGTCGAATGACCGAAGATATTATTGGGTATTTTAAAGATTACGAACGAATTTCGGCAGCAAATACCTGGACTGACGGGCAAAAAGTAGTTATGTTTCCGCTGTACCTTAGAGAGGAAGCGAAGATTTTGTTTGAGAAGATAGAGGATGAAACTAATACCTTATCTTGGTCTATTTTAAAAAAGGTGTTCACGGAATACTATAATTCCGAGAAACAACGAGCGCTTTTGAGAGAAAATTTAAATAGGAGAAAGAAACGGCCGGAGGAAACACTACAGAGTTACATTTTGAAAGTACTGGGAGAGTGTAAACGAGTGGATGAGAAAATGAGTTAGAAAGAGACAAGTAAGATAATTAGGAAGGGGTTACCTCAGGATATATATTGGAGGATATATGCAATGGACAACTCTACGGTTGATAAGATAATATCAAATATTAGGTCATATGAGGCGGACATGGCAGCAATTAATAATAATGGATGCGAAATAGAATTATTGAGGAGAGAGATTGAGATACTTAAAGTTAGTAAACATAATGATATTAGTGATGAAGACTATTGAGAGAAGAGCTTGAGGAACTTAAAGCTAACATGAATAATAGACCGTTTAAAAGTAATGGTAATTTGAGAAGAAATTTTAATAATTATAGAAATAATGGCAGTAAATTTAATGGTAACGGTGAAGGTAAACATTTTAACAAGCGCGATAATAATAATGATTATAGGAATAGAAGTTATCATAATGACGACGCCGCATCCGATAGCAGATATGGACGAAATAGACCTAGGAGTAATTCTGATTATGGTAGAAGTGAGGAAGACGATTTTGATAACCATAGTGAAAACGATTACAACGCGCGTTTTAGGAATAATGATAGACAAGAGAATAAAAATTATAATACTCCACCCCGAGTAGAAAACATAGGTAGCTGTGTAATTAATAATGCAGATTATAAAGGGAATAATCCAGTAATCATAGGTGTTTTAGATAATGTATCACATCATTTTACTGTTGACTCAGGCGCGACTACTAGCGTTATTAACGAAAATATGCTTCCCAAAAATCATGTAATTAGTTCTTACGGGAAGACAAAATTATATACAGCCAATGGTTCAAAATTAGATTTAGTTGGCAGGTCAACTATTAAAGTATATTTTAATCAGGGGTTCGGAACTAATTCCGGAACATGTTCCTTCATGACTCCCTGTTGTAATCGTTCCGGAACAAATACCCGGAACTCGTTCCTCAAGATATTCGTTCCGGAGCAAATACTCGGAACTCGTTCCTCGAGATATTCGTTCCGGAGCAAATACCCGGAACTCGTTCCTCAAGATATTCGTTCCGGAACAAATACCCGGAACTCGTTCCTTGAGATATTCGTTCCGGAACAAATACCCGGAACTCGTTCCTTGAGATATTCGTTCCGGAGCAAATACTCGGAACTCGTTCCTCGAGATATTCGTTCCGGAACAAATACCCGGAACTCGTTCCTTGAGATATTTGTTCCGGAGCAAATACTCGGAACTCGTTCCTTTGATATTTGTTCCGGAGAAAATAAAATGTAATTGTTCCTTGTCATTATTAATAATTTATTAATGGAGCAAAATGTATTTGTTCTACGTATTATGTTGTTTCGTTCGAGTTTATTGAAGGTGCACATTTTTTTTGTTACTTTATTCTTTGTGTGTGGTATTTTAGAAACAATAGACACATTAATGTAAGTTAAATATTAATTAATTTAAGTTAAATGTTAATTAATTTACCAAAAGATTATAGTTAATGCATTTAATATAACAATCAATGTTATTTTCAGTGTACATAAATGTATATAGTATATACATGGTGAAAGTTAACAGAGCTATTATAATATATTTTTACATACTGAGAAAAATGTATGCAACTAATCCATCAAAACCATCAGTTCTTTAATCATAAATTAAACTTGCAAAGTTAAAAAACACTTAATTTATATTAATTTAATATTTTTTTGGCTAATTATTTATGATTAATTTTCAGTGTATTTTTTTTACACAGCATATACAGGGTGATTCTTTTATCGTGAACCACTCAATATCTCATAGGGTTTAATAGGAAATTAAAATATTTTTTTTTTCATATTGTTGTTATACAATGTGATCTCAATTTTTCACAATTTTTTTTGTTTTTACCCCCCTCTCAACTTGTGATGAAGCTTCAAGTTTAGGACAGGAGGAAAGGAGGAATGTAAGATTATTTTTATCTGGGCGCATTTCCAAACCGCACTTCCCCTTCCATCCTAACTTAAACCTCTTATAACTTTTAAAATAGTTATCCTAATCTGGTTATCGACCAGTCAAAATTTTTAGTACATTATTCTCAATTTAAAAAGTTAATAAAATATATACGTTACCATTTAAGTTTCAAAAGTTGCTATCAAAAAAACTTAGTTGAGAGGGGGGTAAAAACAAAAATAATTGTGAAAAATTGAGATCACATTGTATAAAAACAATATGAAAAAATAAATTTTAATTTCTTATTAAACCCTATGAGATACTGAGTGGTTCATGATAAAATAATCATCCTGTATTACTCTAAGGATAAAAACTATTAGCTAGTTAAAAAGACCTAATAAATAATTAAAATATTCAATAAGGATTGAATAATAAATGTATAAATAATAACTGGATTCATAAATAAAATAAATTAACTACTGTTATAACTTATAACCTATAAACAGTAAGTTGTGAAAATTTGCATAGTAATAACATAACAGATTTGAATGTAGATCGACTTATATGGTTAATAACAATATTAATGCATTTACACAGACATTTCCCAACGTTATTATTTACTGATATAGTACCTAAATATTATCTTAATGGTGTATCTACATATACATTTGAAAATAACTTGCTATAGACATGCAGTAGAAAAGAAGCGTTCGGCCAATGTAGCCATTATATAATAGATTAGGATAACTGTATTAAAAGTTATAAGAGGTTTAAGTTAGGAAAAAAATAAACTTAAATACCTACGCATTAATATTGCGTTTAATTTATGATTAAAGAACTGATGGTTTTGATGGATTAGTTGCATACATTTTTCTCAGTATGTAAAAATATATTATAATAGCTCTGTTAACTTTCACCATGTATATACTATATACATTTATGTACACTGAAAATAACATTGATTGTTATATTAAATGCATTAACTATAATCTTTTGGTAAATTAATTAACATTTAACTTAAATTAATTAATATTTAACTTACATTAATGTGTCATTTAACTTAAATTAATTATATTTAACTTACATTAATGTGTCATTTAACTTAAATTATTAATATTTAACTTACATTAATGTGTCATTTAACTTAAATTAATTAATATTTAACTTACATTAATGTGTCTATTGTTTCTAAAATACCACACACAAAGAATAAAGTAACAAAAAAAATGTGCACCTTCAATAAACTCGAACGAAACAACATAATACGTAGAACAAATACATTTTGCTCCATTAATAAATTATTAATAATGACAAGGAACAATTACATTTTATTTTCTCCGGAACAAATATCAAAGGAACGAGTTCCGAGTATTTGCTCCGGAACAAATATCTCAAGGAACGAGTTCCGGGTATTTGTTCCGGAACGAATATCTCGAGGAACGAGTTCCGAGTATTTGCTCCGGAACGAATATCTCAAGGAACGAGTTCCGGGTATTTGTTCCGGAACGAATATCTCAACGAACGAGTTCCGGGTATTTGTTCCGGAACGAATATCTTGAGGAACGAGTTCCGGGTATTTGCTCCGGAACGAATATCTCGAGGAACGAGTTCCGAGTATTTGCTCCGGAACGAATATCTTGAGGAACGAGTTCCGGGTATTTGTTCCGGAACATAAAAGAGAAATGAGTCAAATAGGAACGAATTCCGAACCCCTGATTTTAATAATATTCCTGTAGAAATACAATGCGCGGTCGTACGAAATTTGAATTGTAATAGTCTTCTTGGAGTTGATTTTCTAATTAAATATAAGGGCGTAGTCAACTTTGTTAAGTCAAAAATACAACTTAACGTGAATAATAAGGAAATACACATCGATTTTTTTAAAAATTATAATAATGGAATTAACATAAATAGGGTTGAAGATAATAACAACAATGGTTATTATATGGCTAATAAGAATGTGAATAATAAAAATAGTAGGATTAGCCAGAATACTAGGATTAATAATGGTAAAAGGAATTTTAAGAATTGTGTGCATAGTAATCATAGCGCTAATAAGAATATTAATTTGGGTAACTTTAATTATTATAAATATTATAGACACCCCCGTGGGTTAAATAATAATCATTCTAGGGCTCTATTCAATGGGAAAAATAGGACAACCCATAATTATTATAATGGAACTAGAAATAGGAAGTTTGAATATAACTGTAATAGTTCTACTTTTAATGATCAATCTAGAAAGGGTATTAGCAATAGACAGAGACCCAATTATACTAGCAGACCATTTATCACTAACCAGCAACATAACATAGGTAACTTTGACCATAACCTAGGAACTCAAAATTATGTTGAAACTCCAATTCCTCTGTTTTCCTCTGTCTCTTGATGGAAATTCCAAGAGGCAGTATAAGGAAAAGGAAAAATAAATTTCTATTTTTCTTTTGTAAAAATATAATTTTTTGTTTTTTTTTTGGGGGAATCATACATATAATTATATTATGCGCGAATATATAAATTATTTACTTCTGTTAGGTAGCGTCTTTAAAAATATAAATATAAATTGTAATTCACATTTCTCACGGTGTGATTACTAGGAATACATCTAGCAAAAAAAAAAAAAAAAACACATATTTCCTTGGAGGCAGACAACTGCCGTTGCAGGTTTTATAATTTCAAACTAACTGCTATCCCGTAATTATAAACGTTCGATTGTAAGGCAATGCCTTTTTCTGTTATTGCGTTGTCAGAAATGAATCATGGACATGTCCGAGTCTTATTTTCTGACAATCCTTGGACACCAATCCCCGACTCGCACTTCATATTATTATTTGAATTTGACACGGTTATAAAATATTATAATACGATTCCTTGACCGTTAGAACAGAAATTTAAAACAACGTATTTAAAAGTGATGATCATGATTTTAACGGAGAACAATAATGTAACATGTACAATCTCAGACGGTACCCGAGACGATATATACACATATACACGCACACACCCGTATGTGCCAGTGATCGCAATGTTTTGCTGACGTTGTAATTTCTGGGACAATTTTTATTGTAATATTAGTTAGAAGGTTTTAATATTATTTTTCATAATATTAAATAAATAAGTGATTTTTTTTCCCTCAAGACAAAGTAAATTATATTATCAAAATATAAAAGAGTAAATATTATCGGTCTGTGCCGTGCAATTATGCAAACGTGTAAAAATAATTATCTTTATATTTTGCCCCGTAAGTATAAATAAGCAATTAGGATCGGAACGTCATTTATGTATTACTGTAATTTCCAGAAGTAGGTCATTTTATGGTCCATTTTAGTCGCGACCCCTATTTGTCAGCCTAGGATAATATGAACTAGGTCAATTTTTTTTTCCAACTATATTAGAATTTAATATTCACTTACTACTTCTGCCGTACGCCTATTGCTAAGTCATCAATACTACCGAATTATTTGCCGATTTTATTTACATCATCGTTTTTGCCGACGCGTACTAAATAGTACCTATTTGCCGTTTGTTTCATCTTTAGTCGCACGTTGCCGCCCGCAGCCAAGGAGGCGATCATATTCGGCCGCACGTTGCCGCTTTTAAGATAATCAATTTGAATTTGATTTTGTATGTTTTTATTTGCCGTTTAATTGCCGTTTTTGCCATGGCCATAGATCGCCGCAATTTTAAATTGCCGCATACCTATTGTTGCCGATATTGCCGCCTAAGTGCCGCATTTTAACCGCAAAGTTCAATATTTTATTGATTTATTTTGCCGTTGGTCTGGAGACCAACATTTTTACCACACCATATAACACATATCTTTGAATTTCGAATGTCGATCATATGGGTAGTTTAAGAGAAAGGAGTAGCTAACCTTTATTTTATACGTCCGGATCGAATTTTTGAATTTTAAATATTTTGGTTGTTAATACGCGAATGTCATCAGCGATTTTGGTAGTGAATAAATACATATTTCCGGTTGGTTACCGTTGAGTTTTTATATTTTATTTATACGGCTGTTTGTCTCTGCGTTTGTTCAGATTGACTGTTATATTATTATTTGGCAAATATTTTCCCGGCTAACCCCCGGTGACCGTCCGGTTTTACCGTTGACATGTTTTTTACACGGCACTGTCTCTGACGATCTCAGATTGACTTATTTTACTTGTTGAATAATATTTTATTATTTTTATCAACCAATGGACGACTATTATGTCAGATCACGAGTTGTCATTACATTATGCGGCGTATTAATTTTTCGGCTTTATAAAATAATTTCGGATTAGTTAATGAAATAATGACTGATATTTTACACGGCGTTTCGTTTTCGATTAACTGTTTTTGACTATGTACACATTAAATCGGATTTTAACGAATTTATTTTATTGACACAAGGTGTGCAGATGCAACCAATATTTTCTTTTTACGGCGATTTTATTTTTATATGCATAATTTTGCGCATGCTGATTTTCGTAACTATATGAAATTATTTTGAAATAGTTTCGTTTATTTATTTTTTATTTTAATAAAAATATTTTATTTTTCTTATGAGAACACTTACAATTTTAAAGGGTACTTACGTTAAATGACGTCCGAGTTGCTTGTATTATCAAACCCAAAATGTCTGACCACACAATTGATTCTATTCTTATTTAAATGTTAATTTTCCAAAGCAATGTGTATTTAGGGGCTATATAAAATTATTTATCAATTAATTATACTGTATTTCATTAAGTATATATATATATATATGTATGTCTTATTAAGTCGACTTTTATATTAAGTTTTAGGCGCAGCGGTACGGTGGTCAACTTTTAAAACTGTCTTTTTAAAGACAACCTGTTTGTTAATAATGCCTTTGTTTTACATATTTTTATTATATACATATATATTGACCGATTGTTATAGTTAAAATAAATCATTTCCTAGATATACGATACGCCAAAGGCGCAAGATTAGCCGACGTCAAAATATTTTTTGTAATTTTTTTTGTATCGTATGTGTAATGTTTGTATACATTTTAGAAGAAAAAAAACCGCGTAACGACCTGGGGACGGACATAATTACTTTCTTTAATTTAAATTGTTTACGGAAAACTACCCTACAATTAATCAAAATACACCTGAAGGTGCGTGCATTCTTTAACTTAAGTGTATATTGTAAATGGTCTGGTTTTTTATGCAGCTTTTTCCCCAGAACCATTAAGTTAACTTAAATGCTATTAATTTGTGATTACACATAATTTTATTTTATAAATATTATTCACCGGATGCACGCCCACATTGTTTGTGACCCAACAGATTTTAACTTAATAATGACGAAATTTTTAAATGTGGATTATTGTTAAATTTTAAGAACACTATTTTTGGGGAGGACTTTGCGAAGACCTGGTGTTCCGTTTTTGCCCCGAGCTTATGCCAAGAAAGTGACGATAGGGCGGGCCATTTTCCGATGCAGAGGGAATGCAACAATGATGTGGCCCTAGACTGAGAGGGATGTTCTTCCAGCACTTAGAAGTCACCAGAAGTCCACCGAAAAAATAAACAAGTGTTCTTTCCCCCACTTAGTTTTAAGGGTTCACCTTTATTTTCAGGAATTTTTGTACCACCATTTCGTTTCTTTTGCTTTTCAACCTTTTTTTGACAACCCTTAACTTTATACCACTAGGTCCGAGGTCGGACCTCTACGGGGGAAGGGCAGCTGTAACGATCATATTTCACTTGACCGTTACTTCGCGTTCCAAACCAACTGACACAGCACCCCCGACTATAGGTAGGGGAACGGTCGCACACACAGGACAATGCACGTCGCGTATCATCTAATTAACCAGTTGACTTTACCATCACGGACCGCCAATATCCTCGACCTTGCGCTCTATATTTTTGCCGTTTTACTACAAGCCGCCCATCCGACTATCTTTTGTGTGCGTCCGTTTCAACTCCGCTTTGACCAACCATTTCATCGTCCAACCCAGGTCAGAGTGTATATATATATATATATTGTATGATTTTGTATTTTATTTAGAAACCCTAATTTAGAATAAAACATCTTGTAGCCTGCAGCTGAGAGTTAGATTATTTAACAGTGTGACCGCCCGTTCTAGCTCCTCGGGCGATATATTAAGTTAATAAGGGAGACTTTAAGGCCAATTAGACGTAGACAACGGCCTAGCCAACCGTTTTCCCGTGGGGATCCGTCTATTTTAGCTTTATCGACGGCCACTTTGCCTAGTCTAGCCAGCTAGACAAGTAGGTCCGTTACAACGCCAAACTGTTTGAAACCGATAACCTACATAATATAATATAATGTCGATAGTAAAATTTGACAGATGAACTGGTGCCAGTGTCAATACATATCAGGTTTTATTCCGTACCCTGAATGGCTGAATGTATGTATAGTTGTATGTAATGCGCCTACACATAATAAACAATAATGTTTGTAAATAACACACAATTGTTATTGATTTTTTAGCATTTTACTTTTCTTAGTTTCGCTTCAAAGTGAATATTTTTATATTACAAGTAATAGCGCGTATAAAAACTCATTATGATTTATACCCAACCACATCCTAGCATAATGAACCCAGAAAATATAATAAGCCTTTTTTAAATCATTAACTCCACTAAATTTCTAGTTTTTTTTTTATAAAGTTTAAACCAAATTGCAACCAACTCTGAATTGTTAGGTTTTTAATAACATCTTGCGCCAATTTGTACATATCCATTAAAGAACAAATAATAATATAATTATAGATTACAATGTGAACCAAATATTTAAAAAAATGGTAACCAATATTTATTTTTTAGTAAAAATATTTTAACTAAATAAATAATAATACAAAAACTATAATTATATTTTTATCCATTTTTTGCTGCAATTGGTTTAGGGCACCCAAACATTTCTACATTTGTTAAAGAATAATTTTACTATTTTAATTATATTTTTAACTGGAACCTTTTGATAATATTAAATGGTTTTATCATTGTTCTTACTTTTCTAAATAATTGTATATTTAATTTCTTACATGGAAAAGTATTGAAATCCCGTTTTAAGTTGTGTTTTTATTGAAATATAAAAATAAAACCTATTTTGATGTGATGTTGCTTGATTGTATGCTTATTCAAACAGTTACCTGTTAGCCACGATACACCTATGCTGTATGCATTAAATACCAAAACCAAATACAAAATCTTCGACCTAGTTTTTTACGTCTTATTTACCTTAAATTCGTATCGATATAAAATAGCACAACATGCATCAGTAATAGTAGTAATACAAATAAAAGTACTTAACAATGGTCTATGTAGCCTGGTTTTTCGTACTATTAAATGAGTTTTTATAATATTAAAGAACTTAGTATGTAAAAACACACAATTGTTCTTCATTGTTTTAGCGTCTAAGTTTATTTAGCTACGTATCGTTGTGAATAACATACTATGAGTAATAGCCCACACAAAAACACTTCTCTAAATCAACACACAACCACATATGCAATTTTACAAGTGTTGAAAATAGTACGCAATTATGGAAAGATAATATGAAATTAACATACTATTCAATTTAAAATATGTAGGATTAATGTTTGTACCCTGAATTATTTTAAGGACATTTTTAATAAGACTGATAAGGGCTGCGCAAAAGTATCAGTGTAGCCGCATGAGTTAATATGAACAATTGTGCAGTTATTTTACAACATTATGTACACACTTCTTATCAACCATACGATTTAAATGATAACTACTATATTATAATGAAACACATTACACGAAATTTTATACTCGGATATGTGGTCAAACTGATTTCATTTTGGTCATGTGACGTCTTGGTTTTTGTTTACTTGCCGAGTGAGCTATCTGTTTTCATATAGTCTGTGGTAGTGGTATATTGTAGCCAAGGCTGTTCTTTTTTTTGGCCCATAACATTACACCACTCAATTCTCCCCTTTTGAAATGGGTTTAATTTCTTACAGTATCTTAAACTACTACAGCTTAATATGTTTTTCAAATTTCAAAAGCCTATCTTAAGAGGAAGCAAAGATATAAGGGGGTAAGAAACACCATGTGAATTAGTTTTAGACTCACATTGCTACAACTTGGCTGTCGCACTGCCGTGCGCTCAGACAGTCTCTATTCGAAGTAATAATTAACAAGCTTTAAAATTAAAACAGATTAGAATACTGAGGCAACTAACTACCAGAATTTCAAAGTTTTAAAGTAGTAAAGTATAGATACCTACTTGTTTTTTCATTTATCAAAAAAATTGATTTTCGAAGCGTATCGATTTTTTTGTTAAAATAAAATCATTTTTGTAGCTATTTTTTTTTAAATTAAATAACAAGCTTATTTTTTGGTTAAATGATAGTTACAGTTTTAGAATTTATTTATTCACGCGTATAATGTTTAATACAATTATATTTTTTCGTGACAAAAAATGATTTTTGCGGTTGTTTTTTTGTTGTATGGTATAATGTTTTGTTATTAAATGTAAGCAGTAATTAAATGTGTAGTAAGAACTTATCCTTAGTATTAAATTAAACATATACATCAAACATATTTACTTAATGTTATATATATTGTAATCTGATATGAAATGAGGTAGAATAAATGTGCATAGTATATAAAGATAAATTAAGATTTATATTTCTTCTAAATATAAATACTGAGCCCGTCAAAAATTACATTTCCATAGATAATTTAAAATAAAAAAATTAATATAAGGGAATAAATCAGAAGTAGAAACAAGTTATTGGAATAGACTATATAATAAATTACAAATGTACGTTTTAGTGGTTAATATTTTTTTGGTGAGTGTATAAGGAAACAATAATAAACATAGATACATCTATGATATACATATGCGATAACACCATGAGTTATATACAATATGTTACTATATATATATATTATTAATAAAGGATAAAACACAACGATGGACAAAGATAAACATTTTAAAAACTAATAAGCATATTTATTTTAAGAATGTGACAAGGATCTTTGGTATTACAAATTTGTCAAATAGTTAAATTCAAAAAATATTAAATATTAAATAATAAATTATTGTGAACAAATGATCTCATATTTAAAATTAGTTTACATATAAATATTCTGGTTTTAAGTAACTGTACCACCAAAGTACTAATTGTATATAATTTCGGGTGTATAGAAGGTGCTACATAATTTTAAAAGTAAAACCAACAACTTCTGATGCTTTGTACCAAAACTAAAACGTCCTCTATAACCTCTATCTAAAATTGGGTATTTTATATATTCTGTAACATTTGACTGTTGCACTCTTTATTAATTATATTTGAGATTTTAGCATTTTTAAACTATTAATTACTTATAGTATTGACTTTTATTAATCTCAAATACACCTTTAATGACTAAAATATATCTAGTAATAATAGTTTTATAGCCATGCTTCTATTAGGATTCACCAATTAATGATCTAATCAGAGTCTCCAATTTTTTTGCATTCAATTATAACTAGGATGCACTAAATTTTAATAATAATTTTTTATAATACTCATAAAATAAGATAATTATATTTCGATTTAATTTACAATCGGAAAAATATCTATGAATTATTAAAATATATGTTTGTAGATGCGTTTATATCAGTATAGTCCAAATCAAGCAACAGTATAAACTATGCACAGTTCAAACCAACAAAGTAAAAAATTACTTAAGTGGTCTTTTATCCATAGATTCCCGTTGAATCGTCTTCTTGAATGTTAATTTATATTAACATAATAAATAATTCCTTTAACTCATTTTGTACTAAACTATTTCTGTACTGATTTAGACTGTACTTGCGTGAGACAATGCTGGAATTATTTTCACATTCAATGACTCAAGTTAGTTAACGCGACCGTAATAATGTTTCCATTATAATATAACTCTCTTCAATATACAAAACCACTATCTAAAACGAGTAAATAAATCTGTTGGTTTCAGTCAATAATAGTTGTAGTTAACGAAAAACAAGACATTTTAAAATTGGCCGAATAAAAATGTTTATTATGATTTAGTAAAATATATAAACATGGTTTTGAAAAAATAAATACACAATTTGATAATTGATTGGAAACTGTTAAGAAACTGGATATTATTATGACACCTTTAAATCCTTCCTGAAATAAAAAAAAATTTAAAATCTGAATTTATTTTCATGACACCATTGTTAAAATAAAACTATTGTTAATTGTTTAAGCATGTTATAGTTATACTTTTTTTTTTACCTACATTTCCTTAAAAAAAACTTTATTCACTAGGAAGGTATAAATTATTTTGGAAAATGTAATATAATAAAGATTTGTATTAAATTCTTTTAGCTAAGTCATATATTTAAGGGGAACGGAAAGCGTATTTTTTTTTTACAAATGAAGACTAAAACGTGGAGTCACTTTTAGAATTGTCTACCGAACCGATTTCAATAATAATTATTTTATTCTATAGTTTAACATCTTCTCTATGGGAGCTAAAAAACCGATTTTTTATTTTTGTTTTCAAAAAATATTTATAAGCATTTTTATTTTTACTTTTTTATAGTTTTTTCTAATACATACAACTACTTTTTAATAGCTAAATCAAAAATCGGTCTTTAGCCCCCATAGAAAAAATAGTAAGTTTCACATAAAAATTAAAAAACTTGTAATCCATCCAATAGATACGTCAGAAAATGACATCCACGGAAGTCATTTTTTATCAAACTTTCGTCATAATTTGGAGAAAAATAACTTTAAAAGTATTATAATTAGAAAATTGTAATATGTGTTCCTTGAAATTAATAGGCATATTAAAAATGGCTATTAGGTTAATTTTTGCCAAATATTACCTAACCTTTGCCCTTTAATAAATAACGCTTTCCGTTCCCCTTAACAGAAATATACACCGGCTTTTAATTTCCAAAGACATATGTAACGGTTTTTGTTTTTATAACCGTTTATGTACGTTCTCAAATTGTTTAGATTTC